GGAATGACATGTACAGTCTCCATCTCGTAGGCCAGAGTCTTCTGGTCTGCGCCATGGATGGCTTCGCTGCTCTCGAAATGCGATATGTGCGGCTTGCCTGCCCAGATGTTGGTCTTGCGGTTTGACGGGTTGCGAGAGTGACCGGTGCCATCGTGGGAGCGATATGAGGAGCCGCTGTTGCCGGTACCGCGAGGACTGACAGCATGGCGAACCTTTCGGAGAAAGGAGGCGAGGAGGGTGTGGAGGGCGATCATGCAGGCGCAGATGATGACAACGTTGAGTTCTACTATGGACCAGAGGGCGGCGTTGGCGTTGTAGAAAGTGACATCTGTGTGGTGTTGAAGGAATGTTAAGTAGTATAGGCGGACCATGGAGGCGACGCAGCCACTGTAATGAGGTGTTAGTTATTCGTCATTGAAAAGGAAACCTGGTATGCTAGGTTTCAACTCACAATCCGCCAACGGCAAATGTGAATGCCAAACTCAATTTCTGACGGTTGGGCATCTGCATCCTCATCACGGTCGGGATTGGGACAGCAACGATGCCGATATCCGTAAAGATGTTCATGGCGGCCATGAGGTACCAGACGCCGTAAAAGTCAATGCATTTGCCTGGAATCCGGGGGTCCCAGAATTTGGCCACAGGAATGCACATAAAGATGCCGATGATGAAGCAGACTACGCAGCAAGTAGTCGTCAAGACGCACATGATCCAGGTCACGATACGCGTTCGTCTTGTTGTGAAGATGCGCAAATACTGCGCAAGGATACCGAGTTTCGAGCAGATGATGCTCAGGATGTAGATCAACGTACTGGCCCAGAAGACGCGCTCTTGTTTGATGAGCATGGGGGGTGGTATGTCTTTCACGTGCATTCCCATGCCATATCGGTACTCTGCCACCTTGTCAGAATTGAAAGACCATTGTGGCAAGGATTACAAATGCTTACGAAAGACCATTATGGGCGCTTCTGCAGCTGCAAATATGAAAGACAATGCAACGAGGGCATCGTCAACGCCAGGGTTATGGCTGACGAAGAGTCGAGTATAGAGCCTCAATGACACAAAGACCAAGGTGACGCCTGAGCAAACGAAGCCTGTGATAACTGGTCCCAGTCCGCTTACCATATTGGCCGTCTTTGTGAGTGAAAGATTATGTTAACTGAGGCACATGGAGAATATGTGGGGCGGATTCGATGCAGGTGAGGTTGGTTATATTCACCGTTCGTGCTCATATCGTATTAATTGCCATAAATGACTTGCTCTGCGCCCTGGAAGTCAGGAGATGAGGCAGCATCAGCAACGTTGATCCCAGGCTATCTCCATGCCTGACCTTGAAATCTAGAGCTTTGCTTCGCCGTCTTGCGCATGAAATCCTTGCTTACGGACAGCTGGTGTGTGCCGCACGGCTTGTAAGGCTCTACTACGGCCACCAGAGTGCGGGAAGCGCGGCGGCGCACGTGGAAAGCTGCGAGCAGCGTCATGATCCGCCGAAGGTTTGTGCGGTTTTGGGGTAGCGGGATGTGTGCGGGTATTCTGGAAGAGCATCGGACCTAATGCTAGTTCGCTGGTCGAACTCTAAACTAAGCAGACGCGGCGCAGTTCTGTCCGGGACTATCCTCGCTTTTGATAGGAGACCGTTGGTTTCTCCACGATGCGGGTTCGGGATCGAGGTCCGTGATGCTACGTGGGGATCTGCTCAAGGATAGAACCCTTTGTCGTCCTCCTTTCACGCGGACCATTAGTTGTGAGGTTAATGTGATAAGTGACAGCGACGCGAACTCCATGATGCCTCTGGGCGTAATGGAAGATGACCTGCCTTATCTTCGCTTGGGCATTAAAGATCTCTGCGCTGTCCGACAATAAGTCTGGAATCTGGACGTAAGAAATGGTCATAATAACCTGCAATGTGGGAGAGGTTTCTTCGAACTTTGTGCCTGAAAACTCATAAATAAGTGGTTCGTACGAGCTAGGATGGGAAGGTGCTCCTGTACTCTGTACTGGTGCTGGCTCGCTGGACAAGATGACTCGCCAGCCGAGAGATTAAAGTATGGCACCCGCAACGAGGTAAACAGCCCATGGCTTGTCTGCACGCCTGAACTTGAGCGGCTCTGTGCCGACATGACAAGTTCTTGACCCCGTCTCAATGGCGGTGATTTGAAGCTTGGAGTGCATTAGCACTCGCCGAAAGACCATCGTTCCTTATCAACGGTGCATTAGCGGCGACCCTGGCTAGCGACTTGGCTCCCGAAGTTCCCGCCAACCTTAGAGTTTTCACGACGGTTCAAAAGTCTGTCCCAGTAGTGTTTACCACAGTAAACAAAGTAACTGGTGTGATGCAATTCCCGAGCGACTGGCGGAAGGTGAGGTTCCAAACGCCATAGGAGGCTTGTAGCAAGAGGGAATAGCCCCGATGGTCGTCAATGATCATCTTAGCATTCAAATCGCCAATCCGATCATCCCTTTGTCGGAGCATAATATGCTGTGCACGAAAGTGGTTCGGCTGCCCTCGGCTGCCCGCTTCGGAGCCGCAAGAGCTTGACTCGAGTCGATAGTGTGGACGTTTCAGAATAATGATGGCTCGATTGGCGAGCCTCCAGCAGTGAGGCTTCCTGTAAGGCTTCCTGTAAGGCTTTCTCCTAATAGATCACTGTTGAATGAATCGTGCTGGGTAGGCGGTTGAAACAGTTCGTGAATCGTGGTTCTTGAGGCCAGAAGATCGGTGACAGCCCTGCTGAGAGCTTTCTCTTCGTTGAATGGCTGAATTTGAAGCTTGAGTCGTGGACTAAGGACATCGACGGAAGCTTTTACCGCGCCGGGGGGCATGGTGGCATCGCCACAATAGCATGATGTTGATCCTGGTGCGATGCCCCTCTCGCTATGGTTAGAAACATTGGCCTTGGGTTTTGTGTCTGGAGCCATGTGACACATGGACCTAACGCGAAATGTGCCCAATCAAGAGGCCAGAGTCGACGCGCTGTCGAATCGCCAACTTCCGAGACCCTTCTGCTGCCTTGATAGACTTTCCGGGGAATCATTAGAGCGGCTTCATAACGACCCAGACCATCAATTCTCGACCATTGCATGGAAAGTGCTGAAACACCCAATCAATAGTTGGCCGTGGCGGTTTGCCTTGGTGCTTCGTCTACAGGATGCTGGGACGAACGGAGACGGGTACCGGCTCTATCTGTGTTCCGGCCGGGGCTGTAAGCGTCGATGCACTTTACGCCCATAGGCTGCAAGTCGCTTGTCTATCGTGGGTTCAGTGATCGTTCCAAAAAGGCGGTTGAACTGCTATTTTGCCACAAATCCCTTATCATCTCAGCTCAAGAAACCCTGAACGGTCGAAGAGAACCACTTGGGATTTTGCTCAGTGAGGGGATCAATTTGAGAGAAGACGTAGGCCAGCATCAACGGCGACTTCATGATGCAGTCATCAAAGACCATAATCTTGAGAAAGGGGTAGCTCGAGTTCGTGGTAACGCAGTCGCTGTAGATCTTTCTATTCCCAAATGTTCTCCAAAACTTTCTGTAGAAGTTTGGGACGACGCGCCAAGTTTTGATAGTGCGATAGCTCCCGCTTGGCAAACAGTGATCCGCTGCTTCTCGGCCGCAGACGGTCTGCGCGAATATGTGATCCGCAATCATGTTCTCGTGTATAGCGATGATATCCGCGAGACGCTTGTTGACGCGGCGCAACGCCAAAATGTCGTTGGGCAGGAGCTCGATGATTCTGAGTACGATTTCGACAGGAAGAAGTGAGAACGAGACGGAATTTTCTCCCGCCTCGGACATGGTGGAGCGTCTTTGCTCCAGGTGGACACACTGAATGAAGAGTTCCAGCTGGTGGTGAGGGGATGATGAGATGAAGATAACGGGCGACTTCGGGTCAATCGTTAGATTATCTTATCGATCTGCAGATGACAAACCAGCCACCTCAGCGCCCGGACGCCTTCAGTTCTGTCTTCCACCAGCCGGTGTGTATTCGCTACTTACACGCTGAAGCTGCGGGACCAATCGTTAATACTTGCCACGACCTCCATCGGAAGTCAGTCAAAAAAATCTCCGAAGGTAGACGATACCTGATCGGTAGCCTATCTTGACAGACAGAACCTTAGGGAAGTTGTTCCGAACTCTCACCCAGATTTTCGGCCCTGATTGGACAAAACGTACAAAGTCTGGAGTCAATTTTGACGCATGGACTGCTGGAAAAGCATCATAAAATTACATGGGGAACAGACACAGACTCTGCAAATTCGAAAGGAGCTTCAACTGCGTACACGGGACATGGACACTACAAGTTATCCTATCTCATCGCCGAAGTCTTATACCTAGTACCATGGTACTTTGCGATACGTTGAAACTGAGATGCTCAAAGGCTAGGGTACTTAAAGCTATGCATAACCTCGATCAGCTTGGAGAAGAATCGAAGGAGTATTCCCATTGGAATTCATTCCGCCCGTATTTCAGACAGGCGAGAGAGAGGGCATAAATAGGATCTTGTCTTCAATTCATGAGAGCCGATGAAATCGGATAATCGTTGCAACCCACTTTGAATATAGTCAAGTCTATGCAATGTTCGTTTGTGGAATTACATAGTTCTTGAAATGACTTCGCAGTTAACATCGCAGTCAACATCGATATAATTGCACCATCTCACAGGACTTATCGGCAAGCAATTCCTGCGATCTGCTCCGCTTATCAGCAAATTTGGTGTTGCGCTGGCAGTTCGAGTTCCCCACCCTGTCAATTTCCCAACGCTATACACAGAATGCACCCCGACTACCAACGACCACCACCACACGTCTGATGCAAGACCTCGTAAGCCAAAACTGTAACCCGACCCCTCTGGTTCTTCCAGTGGTGTAAAATCAAAGATTTACCTACGATCTTCCGCCAACATCTCCAAAATGACAAAAAATTCTCCTTCTCACCACAACACTACATCCTTCCACTCCTGGACACTCCCTAACTATATAGACCCACAAAAGAGTAAAAGAAGATTCCGTCACGGGGAATTGAACCCCGGCCTTGTCGGCGCTTGTAATCACTATGTGAATACTGAGAGCGACAAATCCTAGCCACTAGACCATAACGGATATTGAAGCTTGGTAACTGCTTTTCTTGAGGAATAACTCCAGGTTACGCAATATATTGTGCATAGAACACGGTAGAGTGCCTCCAAAGTGAAGTTCAGCCCGTGTGTGCAGTTGAAGTTTTGTCCGAAGGCTCTCTTTTCGGACCGATGAAAGGCCTCATCATGGCACGGACGTCCCGAAGCTACGACCGAGGACCTCTAAAGAGAAATGGAATTAACTACGTACGTCAACAGCCGTTACGACTTCAGTGTGCAGGGACGAGAGGCATACGCGTTGAGAACTTCGTCGGTACCAGGGATCACTGTTCTGAGATTATAAGTCAAATACGAGGTTGATGTTGTCACAGAAGCTGCCCTGGCCGCGTTACAGAACTTCGCCACTGTATCAGATGTCCATCTGGGTGGAATATCAGTCACTTCTCTTGACCCCGTTTCAGGCAATGCACCATCGTCCATAAACAGAGCTCGTAGCATTTCGCTAGAATTCGCAGAGAGATCAACGCAACGTAAAATCTTGGGTCGCTCCTAGTTTCGAATTCGACTGGGCATCAATCTCGAGTTTGAACTTTTGAGTTTGAACTCTTCAGTTGAAGAGGGTTCTTTGAGAACAACGGAGGAAAACTTCAAGAATTCGACGAGTCTATACTAGCTGTAGACTTGAGAGGTATTTGAGGAGAGCACTGCGGTGATCGTAGGTCATATTGCTGTCCGTACCTGCTCTAGATTGTATCACTCTCTTATAGGAAAGGCGTGTCCTGAGACGTCGCTCTCCAGCCATAACTATAGAATAATCTTGTGATGCAATCTTTCTTACCATACCGCGATTCATTGAGCACAGTGCTTGTCACGATACAAGGAGATAGACGGCAGATATTCATGATATGGAGATGAAATGAGAAATCATGTCGAGAGCTATGGACTGTCGACCTGCCGTTGTTCTAGTTCAAGAGGATGTTCGATGTCCGGTTGCTTCACTCGTGGGCGCATTGCGCAGTCAAAGCAAGCCAGAACTAGGCCTTTGTCTATCTTGAAGCAAGCCTTCAGTCCAATTCATGCGTTATGGAAGCAAGCCTAGACGGTATCTGTTAGACGTGCGAAGTAAATCTGCTGTCTATATTCAGGGAGTCGAAGCAAGCCCGCAAAGCGGTCGTCTGAGAGGTTGAAGTGCGCCCGGCCACAATCAAATAGTCCCCGCTTCGGTTGTATGAAGATCCATCCCATCAACCGAATCGACGTTCTATGAATGTATCACAACACGCAGCTGTAGAATCCAGCCGATCCTGAATTAGCGAGTTTCACGGGGCTAGAGACCATTGCGGATTTGTGAAACAGTCGTTTCCCATAAGAATCTTGATGGATAGACTCCTCTCGGTATCCCGAAGTAGACTAAAGCCACCATAATTCTCGGTATATCTAAGCTCGCCATGGTCCGTGAACTGTAAACACATCGTACCTGTCCCCAATATTAGCCACATCATTCCTAAAGATATACCCATTCATTCCATACCTTTTCCGACCCAACCCCTACTATTCGGAATCGCTGCAAAAACCGGTCTATGGGTATCATGTCGCTATAAATTTCATCTTCTCCATGCGTCGGCTTTTTCAGCCAGTCCCGGCGGCCCGTCGTCTCTGCATCAGAGTCACCTGTTTGGAAAGCAGCGCTATTTGCTTTTGGACCAGGGCCAACTCATCGTCGTCATCTCCGACAGCGGTGCTAGATCCATTGTGCGTGGATGGAACTCGAACGACTCCGGACCCGGAACATTTGGAGCATGTCCGCGTCTCCACGGCAGGAGACATGGAAAGACCCGGTACTCCGGTCGCGCTGGAAGGCGTTGTAGCTGGGCCGGGGAAGCCGTTGTTGTACATGTAATCCGGTAGGCCTGTCGACGGTATCGTGCTTTGCCGCATAGAAGGCGGTTTGGGATTGGAAGGTCCAATGACTCTGACGCCGCTTTCGAAAACGAATGGTCTGTCCTGGTGTGTTGGCAATGGGTCCCCGTTCAGATCATGGCCGTGTATATCAAAAGTGCCCAGATCAGTTTCCTCGCGAGAAAGTCTATCCGTGCGTCTGCTCTCTTCCATGGCGACGTGCATATCTCGTTCGCGCTCGGCCAGCGTGGCTCGACTTGGATTGGCGACCCTCCGGTTCACTGGCTTCGGGGCGGCGTCGCCTCTCTCTTCCAGAATGCTCTGTTTCGACTTTGTGGCCAGGCGCTCGGTAATCTCCTCGCCGAATTGCGATTTTATAAAGTCGATGATGGCCCGTGGCTCCGTGTCCCTGGTGACGGTGAATCCACCTCTTGACAGCGCATCCTTGACCCACCGCTGCGTGTACTGCACACCACGCTTGGCGTATTTGGGCTTTCCGTCCGCATCGTCGTACAGCTCGCGCGAGCAGGTGTGTTCGGGCACGACGGAGCTCACGACCAATTGGCCGGTGTCCTTGTTGACGTTGGCGCGCAGCTTCCACTGGCAGCCCTGGGAGAAGTGGCGGCACTGGTAGATGGCGCGGGTCTGGTCCTTCTTGTGGATGCGGGTGAGGAAGTGGTCGCGAAGGGCCCAGACGTTGATGGTGTTGCGGAGAGCCTTGTGAGCAAGTGGAGGTTAGATGAGACGTCTATCGGACAGCCAGTCTGGCGTGAGGGCGATGGAGGTACCTCGAAGTCGGGATAGGTGCTGCCCACGCGCGGAGTGGGTATGTCAAGGGCGGGGGGCAGCTGGCCCGGGGCGCGGTCGTCGGTGTCAGCGTCGGAGTCGTCGTGTGTAGGGGAGGGGTCATGGTGGTGCTGGTGCTGGTGCTGGTGCTGGTGCTGGTGCTGGTGGGCGGCGGGCATCACGGTGGATGGCATGGGATGGAAGGGATTTCCGGGCATGAAAGGCTGCTGGGAGCTTGAGCTAAAGGGCTCGGCGAACGGCGGGGCGGTGTTGGTGGCCGAAGACCTCTTTCGAGGGCCGACTCGCGGCGGGTGGTGGCCCGGCGTCCTTCTTACTTTGTTCGGCATTGCTGAGCTGAGCCCAAATGATGGAGACTGGAGAGAAGAGAAGAGGCGGAGGCCTCGCGCCCCAAAGAGAGCCCAGCGCGTACGATATCCCCTGCTGCGCCAAGCCAGTGGTGGTTGATCGTCTGCCCTCCACTCACCGAGCCACTCGAACCTCACCACCACCCGACCTACACCACCAGTACCACCGCCACCGAGGCACTCAGCACTCAGCACCCAGCACCCAGCACCCAGCACTCGGCACTCAGCACTCAGCACAGCAGGCCGGCGTCCACCAGGATCCACCAGGGCATCAACACCGCTGCATGCTGCGGATTCACCATGTCGTTGCTGACTGCCTGCATCGCCATCCTGTCGTCGCCATCCATGCCTTGTCCTATCGTCGACAACCGCCGCATGCGCTCCCTCGTCTCGCAGCTGACAGCCACAGATTGCCTCCCTTGCAACGCGACTCTGTTCTCTACCGGACGAGCACTGTACCACGATGCAAGGTGTGCCAACGTCTTTCGGCTCCGCGTTGCGTAACCCGCGTTCAACCTTCCCCTTCGTGTCCTTCATCGACGCCCTCACACCGCGACACCGATGTCCCCCAGGTACTTAGCGATATAGTTTATGGGAACGTCGACAGGTGACGCCTGAGGGTGCATCCCATGACCTGGCAATGCGCGGCGTACCGTCAGAGGTGCCAGGTACCACCGAGTGAGGTATGCGATGATGCCGCTCCGAGGCCTTCAGCAACCTCTAGCCCAGATGAACCTTTGCTGCTCGCATCATGATATACGCGGCGAGCCAGAGTTCGGAGCAGAGCACCTTGATTCGTCCAGGAATTCTTTCCGAGGCTCTTGACCCGTCCCACGACTATCTCCACCACCCTTGCTGTCCCTACCGTTCACCCACGTTCGCTTGTTGACGATCACCCAAGCTTGTTCATCATTGCCAGTCTGTTCGCCGACTTGGCTTTATCCCCTCCCCCTGCCACCCCTCCCGCATCCACCCATCACAGATTCCCATCTCGATCCCTTTGCTTTCTGCGATGATACGAGTCAAGCTGAAGTCCGCGGAGTAGCCTTCCAGTCTCATCGACACTCTGGACGAATAAGGCCCCCGTTCAAGGCACGCCTTCCGATAGAGAGCACACCCGAAGTTGGATTTGCGCTGTGCGGCTGAGATGGCTGCGTGATGTACCTGCCATACCCAGGATTAATCGGTACCAGATCGCCCATAGCAATCAATCCAACCCAAAGGCCTCCAGCACGCTGTCACACGTGGTTGCCACCCTTGCATTTACGCCGTGACAAGGCTGCATGTGTAGTACATCATCGTCCCGAGTTATCCAAAGTACCCGGAGATGATATGTTGGCCCCCGAAGCAATCTCGGTGTTTGCTTTTTTGGTCGAGAATCCCCACGGGAGAAGGAAGTATTCCGAGGCATCAACGCCTCCCGCAGGAAAAGACGACAGTCCTTGTCCCAGACGGCACGATCATCCGTACACAGACCTCATACCTTGTCCGGTCTGACAGCATCAACAAGCAGTGGCTACTCGGTCAAAAAGCATCTCACCAGCTGAGATGCTGCGACATTCCATGGTTTCAGCGTTCCGGCTTGAAGAGCAAGTATGAAAAAGAGCTTCTACTGTAAGAATCACGTCGTAGGTTGTGGTTGACATTCTGCTTGGATAAGGTTCAAAGAAGGGTTTGATGCTCAACGGGTATGTACCGACTACCGAGTAGCACAGATCCGGCAGCAGTGACGTCCGCACCTTTGGGTCAACGTCCGCATAAACCCTGCATTCGGCTGTCAATCGCAAGGTGGCGCAAATAGCGACATCTCCACGCATTTGGCATGAACCTTCGATCCATCGCAGTATCTTGGGCAGCATTTCTGATGGTTCCTGCACGTCTCCTCGAATTTCAGTCGATCAGTGGTATAGAAAGGGTATCCCATGGAGAGATCCTTGTCGTACCTGATGTCGAGCGCATTTTTCAAGTTTGAGAT